CCTAAAGTCTACCGTAAAACAGTAAAAATTATAATCAGTTCTGTTAGTATGAAATGCTCTTGAGCATTTGTCCTGCACTGATGCTGCATGGTGAAAGCAGTGAGAAGTTTTTCTCTTTTAGCTCTTCGGCTCAAACAACCAAATGACAAGAATAATTGATTTCAATTGGGTCTAAGACTTTTATCTGAAAGACATGCATTATTCAGTGTATCTCAAAAACAAATGTACGTTATCACCTATTGTGCTTTTTTAACTGCCTCACTGTCCTTACAAGCAGGACACTTTTCCCAAATACTCACATCGTCCATATTGTAAATTTGAACAGCTGAGATGTTGTGAATTCTGCTAATGGGCAAGGAGCACATAGTATTATTTATAACAGCCTTTGCATACTGGGAAACCATTCTGTCTGGGTGAGTTTGATTTAAGAATTTGACTATTTTTATTGTGATGGTCATTATTAAATCCAGTCTGTGGTTACTCCATTTTCATGAAGGCCAAATTGTAGATGGGATGAACTTCAGATGTTGAAAATGTAAACTTCTGCATCACCCAATTAAACAAAGGGAAATAGCCATTTCTAGGGCATGATTCACCTCACTCAAAGGTAGACTTCTGAAATAGCTGAGATGAATCACGCTCCAGATGTGTCTTTTTCTCTTCACTGATTATAAAGGAGTCCTGATGTCTATCTCAGATGCTGTCCGGTAGTCATCTAGAATTAGGGGAGATGAGTCCCTTTCAAGGTCTTTGGTTGGGTATGTCTGACCACGGTGTCTAGACCCATGTTTGAAACTTGGGGCTTAGGCATTTTTGAACCAAGTTTTGATTTGGCCTCTGAGCCCTAAACGAAGAGACCTGAAGTTTCTGGAGTGGAGCGCTCCTGTGCTGATTTCTCTCAGAAAATACAGTATTTTATTCTGACCTTCCTCTAGTTCTTCATCTTTTACTGCTGCAGATATCAGGTTCTGTCTCTGTAACCCTGCCCTGAAATAGTCAGGCTGCTTCACAGGTACAGCAAGGTGTCTGATAAAATAAATTAGAACTGGACCTCTTTGTTTTGGGATCTGGCATTCTTTCAGTGGACCCAGCCTTTTTGATGGCTGGAGTGGGAAATCTGCCATCATGCTGCTGTCCCTTTAGTGAAGGTTGAACTGTATTTGTATTCTGGAAGGCTGAGTCTCGCTCGTAGACTTCCTGGCAAGTGGGTCCCTTTCTTGGGCTACCATTACAGACCGAGGGCTGGAAAGAACCAGCTAAAGTGACCAGGACCTTTCTTCTATCCTGTGGCACTAGAAAGTGAAAAAGAAGAAATGTCAGCCCCTCTTTCTCTTGTGTATCAACAAACGCTTTGCAGAGCCACCTCAGCTTCTGACATCTGCTGAAAGCATCTTTCAGTTCTCTGTGTTAATGACAGAAAAAGGCCATGCAAACAGCCCTGTTTTTCTGGCCTTCTGCAAGACCCTGCCGCCCCTTGCAGCTGGCCTAGCCACAATCCTGAGAGATGCGATTTTGTGCCTTGGGGTTGGTAATGCGCTTCTGCAGCCCAAGCTAGGGCAATCTATAATACAGTCCCTCTGAAGTTGACTTTCAGTGACGTATTTTGTGGCAGCTCAATGCCCAGGACTGCCTGTGTGTGAAGTGGCAGCAAAGTCTATGTCAGCTGAAGCAGAAAAAGCAGAAACGCGGCTTCTGCGTAATAGCTCTCTTCCTGGTTCATCATCAGTGAAAAATGAACTAAAATACCCAACGGCATTAACAAAAGGAAGGAATGTCAAGCCAACCTGATTTATTTTTTGATGAGACAACTGATTTTCTAGACAAAGGGGATGCATTCAATCTCATCTATCTAAATTAACCAAATGCAAGATTACTCTGAGACATTGGTAGGAGGTAGCCATGGAAAAAAGGGGGAGATACAATATATCACTAGAAGATTTCTCTGACACAGTCCAGGAAATATTTCGTGCTGTTTCACAAATCCCTGGTAAGGTCTCTTTGGGAATAGTATTTACAGCTGTGGTCATCTGTGTTCAAGCAAGATGCAGCCAAAATATCTAGATGCCTGGAAGGGCTAGGGAAATGCTCAGGGGAAGGAATAGCCGTCTGACAAGACGAGACTAAAAGAACAGAGCTTGCTTAACATAGGAAAACACAGGCTGGGGGGGGGTGTGACTGTCTCCATAAATATGTCAAGGGGTGAATGCTAGTGAAGGGGAAAAGCTCAGTACTGGCACAATACCAAGTCATGGTTAACTGACCATGAATATATATATAGGGTGAAGAAGTCTGTCATTCCTTCCTTGGGGTCCTTCAAAGTTTTAACTGATTCATATTTATGAAAGCCTCTAGAAAACTTGATGGTTTAGAGCAGCGCAAGGTATTGTAAGGAAGTGCTAGAACATGTCAACACCTGGGCTGAGCGTTCAGTCGTGGCATTCAAATCATAAATCAAGCTTCATAACTATTTTTTTTGCAGATTTAGCTACTCTAAGGCTAAGTGAGGGTCTAGAGTTAGGATGTGCTGAGGGAGGGTCCTACGTCATCTGATTTCAGCTACCGCAAGGTTCGTTGAGGTGTTCTGGTGCCCAGCTCCTTATAGCTCTGTATCAAATACCCAAATGTGAGATAAAAACACATTAGTACAATAGATGCCCTCTGTGGTAAGTTCAGCATGTAGGTCTATTGCTTGACTCTTAAATGGTAGCTTGTTGTTAACCTCTGCTTTGGTGGGCCTTGTTTTTCTGTCTGTTATCAGGTGATCTTGCAAGGCTTGTACCTAGGAAGCCTCTACATGATATTTGTAGAAGGCATGTTTCTTCTACAGCTGATTTTGAATTTGAAAGGATAATTGGTCATTTTTGCTAACAGCTACCAAACATATTTGGGGTTGTTTCTCCGAAAATGGTTGGTTGGTTGGTTGTTGTTGTTTTTTTTTTTTTTTTGCCATTGGCAGCATGAATGTGAGAACCTGCATGTGATCCTTGGCATCACAGAAAGTGCACGGAAGCGGTCAAGTCAGGTGTCCAATGTGCATGTCCTATCTTGCACGCTGAATCCTTCTACGGCCTTGAGCTTGCCTTCTCTCTTTTCCTTCTTTGCAAAAGGGACGTAGGAAGAGCATTATTTTACTTTATCTGCTATAGGGGCAAGAGAAGTGAGCTGACTAGTTAAATCTTTGCTTTGAGGATGAAAAGCACTAAGTGTCAAGTTGAACTGCCTTAGATTTTGCTTTTTTTATGTACAAGTGACTGTAACAGAGCTGAAACGGCAACTGTAATTGTCACAAACCTAAGAAGCATGATTTCTTAAAGGAAAGTCAGCTCAGGGAAAACTGTAAATCAGATCCTTTAATCTGTTGACTGAATTGTCCACAGGACTTGCATGTTCTCATACATTTATGCTGAGAACCCCTGCAGCGATGCTAAAAGGTTTACTGCAAGTTCATACTGTGCGGGTAGTTGTTAACAGACATTTTTATAAGCCCAACATGTAAAAGAGCAGTTAAGAGCTCTCTAACCCTTCCTAGTGCTTTTTTGCTTATTTAACCGCTGCGATGGGCTTTTGTCTGTATGCGTTGTGTTGTTTGCCTAAATCGAGAGGGGATCTGTGGTTGGTAAAGTGTTGCCATGTAGAAGGTCTGTAATTGTTGCAGAGCTGGACTCTTGCCTTGTGAGTTGAAACTCTGACTCGGAGCCGAGCCCAAGTTCATCGCGTTCGGTGCATCTCCGACTGCAGAATTGATGAACAAGGCACAGGATGGCTCTGACAAGCTGATGAGCACATGGTTAGAGTCTGTATTTGCTAGGACAGTCTTACTGTTCAGTGCCGAATTCCTGCAGTGGACAAAACATAAACACAATTTATTATTCTGTTAAATCAATGACTATCATTCTGAGGAGCAGTGGGTGTCCCAGGTACGGTTGGATGATTTGTCTTGTGGATGCACAAACATCAGTTCTTTGTATGAGTTTTTCCTGCAAGCATTAAGCAGGAGTTTGTAGAAAACTTGGTGACTCGGAAACTTGCTGATGAAAACCATTTACCTCTAGGTCGTGCAGTGATTCTGGCCCAGCTCTGAGCAGACCGAACGCTCCATATGAAAGTTTTCTGGGTCTTGTAGGACACAAGTTTGGCCTCAGTCCAGTTTCTAGTGGGCAGGTATCTGCGTCACGAAGGCTGTCGCCACAGCCATCATGAGAAGGTTACTTGGAGGCAGAGTGAGGACCATTGGGACTGATCTGTGTTCCAGGTTAGGTCTGAAACAGGTCAGCAGGGTGGTACAGTGTCCTTCTTACCTCCACTGAATAGCTTGAAGATTTCAAATGCAGGGTTGTCAGTATATCACCAGCACTGAATTAATATTAAACTCACAGTTAAAAAAAATGTTCTTCTAAATATGTTAGAAAACTTTGCCACCTCCACCCCAAAAATTGACAGCCCATGTAATTCAGTGCTTGGAATTGCATGTGATGTCTTCTAAACCTGAAAATCAGAATATATCCTTTAGCTAAGCAAGCTCTGGGAAATTGCAGTGAAACTAAAATTCCTTTGCAAGGCACCATCAATCCCTCTGGCCATTTTGGGGACTTCCCAGCTGTACATTATGCCAACTAAGTTATACTTGAAAGCCAAGTGCCTTCATAGGTTTGCATGTGCATTAATATGGCTTAGTGGTGACAGTGAGAGGGGAGGTGTTGCTTTTTTACATGTGGAGGGCCAGGACTTGAGAGATGCTGAACGTGTGCATGTGGTGTTCCCTTCTGCACTCTCAAAGCCAGGCCTGACATGGTTAGAACAACAGCTGTCGGTATAGATAGTTGCAAACCAGATTAATAGTTTATTATTCGTGTAAGGGTGGAACATACAACTGCATTATGGATTGGAATGGGGGAAAATTGCTTTATTATGGCTAAGCGCTTTTTTCTGTATGGTTGATATGAACGTGTTTGTGTTGGGGAGCAGAGCCTTTACTGACTGTCTCTTTTTTGTTTTTAAAGCTGATCAGTGGTGGTTCTATTGTAAGTGCTGAGGCAGTATGGGATCACGTCACCATGGCCAACCGGGAGTTGGCGTTTAAAGCAGGAGACGTTATCAAGGTCCTGGATGCTTCCAACAAGGACTGGTGGTGGGGTCAGATTGATGATGAAGAAGGATGGTTTCCCGCCAGCTTCGTGAGGGTGAGTGACTTTCTTCTTTGTCCCACTGCAGTGTATCGTTGCCAGCGCTGTTTGAAACGGTCAGTGGACTGAAATGGCAGTTTGGTCTGAGGGTTAAAGGAGAGTCCTGCCCACCATGTTTTCCACCACTGATGTTTGCTTCCAGCAATGTGGCTGCTTTGTATCAGCAAAAGAGGAACAAAGAAGGTTTCAAAAGAAATGAGAGGGGGTAGAGGGTGGCCAGAACGGCTCCTGGCTCTGCAGTAGGCTCCCGTGGTCCAGAGCGCCTTCGCTGTGTGTCTCAGCATGTTGGGGGCTCTCTCCTTGAGTGATTCATCTTTGGAAAACCAGTTACCTGTTCAGCAGTGCATTCGGGAGAGCTTTCTTGGCTCCCTTGTAGCCTACGGAGGTGTCAGCCCTCCCCGTTCCACAAACAGCATTGAGTTTTGACTGTCCAGCAGTTTTTGATGTAAAATTAATTGACTAATTAATCCGTGACCAGCTTTGGTTATTTTTTAAGCGGACAAAGAATGTGGTCCTACGTGTCTGGTTTTCTGCTGAGGTAGGCTTTGCTATACCCAGACAGCTCTGGTGGTGATCCGGCCTTTCACGAATTAGCGTTCCAGCACTTTATTTATTTGTTCACTATGTCTCAAGAGAGCAAAAGTGCAAGAAGACACCCTTTTTGCTGCTGTTAGCTCCTGCCATGATATAAGGGTGCTCTAAAGCCTTTCTCGGGGAGTCAAGACGTCGGCGTTGACCTTGTCCGCTTCCTTTTTCTCTCCCGTCTGCAGGGGGTGCGATAGGCGGGAGCAGAGATTTAATTCCTTTTGAAGCTTAGGGGATATGGTTCAAAAATGAAGATTTCTTTTGCCTTGTAAAATTGTCTGAAAGATGACTTTCCTTTGAACCTCCCAGGCAATTTTACAAGCTCAGTAGCAGCAGAGGGGAAGACTGTTTCCTCTGAAGCACAGAACGAAGACCATGCGGCATCCTAAAGCAATGCTGTCTTCGCCTCGGTTCTCTGCCTGTCCTGTTCTCCC